AAGATCGTTAAACCTTTTTTTTTTTTTTACTTTTTCGTAAAGCCGTCATTTTTTCGCTTTACGAAAAACACCTTTTTTAAAGACTACGTTAAATCAATGTTTTAAATGAATCGTAAGCTTGTGTTAATTAATATCGCTTTCGTAAAACCTTTTTTATTCGTTAAACGCTTTTGCTAAACATTTAAGCATAAAATTAATAGAAACTTTAAAATCAACGGCGTTTTCGGATACGCTTTTTATATAATTGCTCGCTAAAAAGACGTAAAACTATTCTTTACGTCTTTTTCGATTATATATACGTATTCTTTAAAGCCGTTAGCAACGTGCTAGCTTTATACAAGCTTTACGATTATAAAATCGAGCTTTTCGAAAAAAAAAAAGCGCTTTAATACTTATTATTATATAAAATATCGATCTTTAAGCTAAAGCTTATTAAAGCTTACTTTATCGACAATCTTAATAAAAGTTTTATCGAACTTTTAATAGCGTTATTTATAGCTTTAATCCTTTTTGCTAAGAAGCAAAACGATTCTTTTCGCTTTTATATTAATTTCCGCGCGTTAAATAACTTTACTCGTAAAGATCGATACTTTCTCTTTTTAATCGATAAGACTTTCGTACGCTTTTCAAAAGCTCGAATCTTTACAAAACTTAACATTCGGTAAGCCTTTTATAAAATACAAATAGATTTAGCTTTCGAAAAGCTTATAATATTTAAGATACGTTACGATGCTTATAAATATAAAGTTCTTTTATTCGAACTGATTAATAAACCCGCTATTTATTAACGTTATATAAATGATCTTTTTTTCGACTTTTTAAATATCTTTTATATAATATATTCAAACGATATCTTAATCTACTTTTCCGACTTTTTAAAGCACGCTTATTACGTTCGCTAAGTTCTTTAACGACTCGACGACGCTAGCTTTTAAGCTAATATTAAAAAGTGCGAATTTAATATTATTAAAGTAAAATACTTAAGCTTTATTATTTTTATCGAAAGCTTAAAAATAAATCCGAACAAGACTTCGATAATAAAGCATTAAGCGCTTTTTACAATCGTTAAAAGCGTTTAAAGCTTCTTTAGATTTTATAACTTTTACCGCCGATTTATTCGAAATTATAACGTAATCGTAAAGCTTTTAATGCATTTAATTAAAGCTAACGTTCTTTTTTCATTTAATTCTTAATGTTAAAAGAGCTTCGACTTCTTAAAGCTCGCTTTAACTATTGCGCTAATCTTATAATATTATAATTAAAACCTTTTTTATATGCTAAAGACTAACGCTTCCGACGACGTAATCGCTTTAATCTTTTCTTAAAAGCATAGTTCCGATTAACTATTAATCGCTTACTACTTTAAAATCATAGCTTCCGTTAAGCTTAATTACGTCGTTTACGATAAAAAGATGCTAGCTATTATACGCTCTTTTAATAACTTTTACGCTAAACTCGCTAGCTCTTTTTATTAAGTTTAAGTAATCACCGATTATAAAGCCTTAAAATACTTTATAACCTTTAAACCTTTTAACGCTCGTTAAGCACGCTAAGCAAAGCTCTTTTTCGATTATAACTTTATTATTACGTATAAATTAAATAAAGACAACTCTTTAATTAACGCGCTAATACGTCGCACCGAAGAGCTCTTTTCTTAAAACAGCTTTAAGCGCACTTAACGCTTGCAAACGCTGCTTCGCGCCGATAACGTTAACTTACGACTCTTGATCGAAAAGCTACGCTAGCTTACGCTTTTAAAAACCGCCGTTATTATCGAAAAGATCGCGAAGCTTTTACCGATATTCTAAGTTATTAATTAAGTCTTAAAAGCTAATCGAACCGCTTTTAGTTTTATAGCACTTCGAATTTAAGCTTTTAAAATTAAGTCTTTACTTATAAACTACGGTTTACGAGTTAAACTTATTATAAAAAGCGACTTGCTGCTTTATAACGGCCGCTTATTAATTTTTAACGTTTAAAACTTACGCTCGTTACTCGTTCGAAAAGTCTACGATTAAATATTTATAGCATACCTTAGCTCTCGCAAAACTTATAAGCTCTTTATAGCATAATACTATTAATATAATATAGCTAGATTCGTTAATTAAGACTACCGCAATTGCTACGTTTATAAATAAGCTTTAATGCTTCGCGATAAAAAACTTAATTTACTTTAACTTCTCTCGATTTTTTTACGCTTTTAAAAATACGTTATTATAGATTTTTATAACTTTAATAAAAACAAATACGAATATAATAACGTTTTTATAATAATCGACCGCTTTTTTAAGCAAACAATCTCGATCTTTTATTATAAGTCTATTAACGCTAAAAACCTCGCTAAGCTTTATATCTATTATATTTATAAGTATTTTAAAGCTCTTTTAACATTGACTTTTAATAAAAGACTTTAATACTAGTCCGAGTTTTAAAAAAAATTTAATAAGATCTTCGGTATTAAATTGACTTTTAGCATCGCCGTATACTTTAAAATTAATAATTAAACCGAAATTTATAACTAATACTTGCAAAAGCGCTTCCGTCTTTTCGTAAGCTATTATTAAGACGATTAAAGCGAGTTCTTTTTTATTATAGACTTCGCTTAATTGACGCTCTTTTACGACTCTTTCGGCGGTCTTTCTTCTTTTAAAGTAATTCACGGCTACGCTTTTCGGATTATTTAAAATTAAAGCTTAAAACGATCTAACGATTAAACCTTTTTTCGCAAGCTTAATTAAAACGAAGCTCGCGCTTACGCTAACCGCTACTTTAAAGCTTAAAACTTCGCTAAAAAGCACTTTTAGCGCGCTTAAGACCGTATAGCTAAACAAGCTAATAAATTAAAGCGCTCGGCTAACTTCGACGTTAATAATAAAGTTTAATTAAATATGCGCTCGTTCTTTACTTTTCGATCGTTAAAAAAGCTTAATAACCTTACGAACGGATTATTCGAAGTTATCGACAACGTTTATAATAACTTTAAACTTAAGCTTTTCGAGTTAATAAAAGTTTATTTAGTCTTTTACTTTAAATAATTACGAAAAGCTCTTAATAATTTTACTTTCGAGCAGATTATTTTTAAACTTGATCCGATTAATATTATTAGCGAACTTAAGTACGAAGTAAAAAACATCTTAATCGTATATTAAATTAAAAAGCACTTTAAATACCGCGCTTTTTAGCTCGGCCGCGATATTAACTTTACTTAATACCTCGCTTCCGATTTTATGTACGCTCTTTTTAAAGTACGTGACTTTTATTTAAAATACAAAAAGCTCTTCGGCTTTTTCGCGAAGCTTTTCGATTAAATCAAAGCTTATTCGAACGGTATTGATGACTACGATCACTTGAGCAGTGATAAAGCAATAGATAAACGCTCGAAGACGAGCTTTTTTCGAACGGAAAAGTAATGTGACGATACGTTAAGTCTTTTAAACGCACTTTATATACGTTAAGCTACTTTCTTTTTTTCTTCTTTCGTATTTTTCGTATTTTCTTATTCTCCGCTTTTGACTTATAAATTATAGTTTACGAGTCTTTAGCGCTTCTACTTTCGTATATATAAACTTCAGCTACCTTCGACTTTTACACTCGGTAGTTGTTAATTCTAAGTCATTACTTTGAGATTTTCTTAAGCTCTTATATGAACCTTCGCGCTCCCGTAAGTTCCTTCAGGTAATCGCTTAAGGTCGTCACATAGCGCATGTAGGAATACGCCCAAGAGACCTGGCGTGTCGTCATACCTCTGAAGCTTTGCATAATCCCCCGCGCTCCTGCAAGTTCCTCAGGTAATCGCTCAAGATCGTCATACTTGAGACACTTGCTTATCCTGACTATTACCGAAAGCCCGCAGGTAAAAGTCAGCGCACTGATTATTAGGACGAAGTTGTAATAAGAACCAGTGCCAAGGCCTGAGGCTCGTGCACTGCCAAGTCTGGTGGGCGCACCCTGCTTTCCTTCTACTATACCTAGCAATACAATATATATATGTATATATGTTTATATGCATATATAAATATTTTCTTTAATTACAAAAAGACATATAAAAATAAGCCAAAACGTAGGTGTGGTGGGCATTTTATTAGCCCTTAAATTCTTAGCTAGCTAGCTCAATCTAATCTAATCGATACCCAATTCGGTTCAATTCAGTTCATATTCTTTTCCTATTCTCATCCACATTCCAATCCCAATTCCATTCTTATTTCTAACCGACCATGCTGACTATGCGTACAATAAAGTCCAAATTTTCAAGATTACTCGATAGCGCCATCCCAATTTTCTTTTCTCTTTTCCGTACACACCTAAACTGATGCCCGTCGCCGCCACTGATATAAAAAAGGCGTGGTTTTTTTTAAATAGAGGAATCCAATCGAACCCACCTTCCACCGCAAGCCAGAGAGAGAGAAAGTAGGACTTTGCCGCCACGCTTTTTCCAACCGGATGTCTTTTCTTCCTCTTTTTTTAAACCCCTTTCTACTCACCTATCCTTATCGCCCTCCCGCCAATACATACACCGTCGCCGCATTGGAGAAGGGAAAAAGGAGTTTGATGACGATGAGAGTTGAGGATATCCTGGGGTGCAATCCGTGCCTGAATTATTTTTGAAGAAGGAATAAAAAATTATAACGAAAAGAAATAAAGAACTTTTTTATATCCCCAGCGAAAGAAGTAGTAGTACTGTGGGCCCTACTCCCCCATTCAATGCAACGCACGAAAAGGAATAAGAGAACGGGGAAAAGTGAGGTGAGGGAGAGAATCCAGAAACTCCTGAAAATGCATGCATCATAGCTGAGCCAAAACCCGGAAAGCAACAATTTTTACGCAACTCCACAATCTCCTTGTTCCGTGGAGCCAAGTTTTGATCCCATTCATGAATCGTGAAATCGTCACCAGAGATGAAAAAGGGAAGAAGAGAATAAGAGGAGGAAGAAGAAGAAGAAGAAGGAAAAAAACAAGAATTGATGCTGTTAAATGAAAAACTGCCACGGATAAATGCTGCACTAGCGTCCATGGAGTTCCATCGCCATCGAACAAGAATCCGACGAGGCGTCGTCGGCCGAGGAGTCCTCCGACTCTTCGATTTCGATCCTCGTGTCCAAAATTTCGGTGTCGGATGTGCTGCTTTCGTCGTCTGAATCGACTTCCATCTCCGTCGTGATGACCATGCTCTTTTCCTCAGGTGCGCTGAAGGCTTTGGGATCGGCGGAGCAGCTTCGCACGTAGGGCTTTTCATCATTGTAGCGAATGAGACCCGGGTGATTGCCCGGTGGCAAGGTAATGCTCTCGCTGCGACGGCCACGCCGGGTCATACGCTCCGCGTCGTGTTCGTCGCCATCCTCTCGGCTACCCCACGAGGTCTGTGTTTGGTCAGATGAAAGAAGAAGGAAAAAAACGAAGCAGGAGGCTTAGGATCCGTGCACTTACAGTGTTCCAGGTCAAGAAAGCATAAATCTTGATGAAACTGTGGAAATAGCCGAAGAGGATCGAGAGTGGCAGGTACATGATATCTACGGGATTGCGTCTGAACAGACCGACTAGCTTGATCACCTTGATCCAACACATGAACAGTACTTGGGCTATCATGCAATAGAGATGCCCATTTCCAGCCAAGTTCTGGGTTGCGCGGTGGCAAGCCCAAAGGATGAAGGGGTCAAAGGCGACGGAGAGTGTGGTAAAAGTGGCCAGGTGGAGCGAATATGCCGACCAAAGTTGTGTACTAATGAATATTAGCGAGAAGGTCAGAAGGGTGGTTTTCGAAAATGTCTCACCGCCAGATGTGTCTTTCGACGACCATGCTGGTGTAGTTGCTACGCCAATTGCTGCGTGCCCATCGAGCACACTGGTACAGAAACTTGATATCGTTCTCCAGGGTCGTCTCAATCTCGCACTGGTGGTTGTACTGAATCCAGGTCTTCCACCGGTTCGATACCAACCACCGAGTCACAAAGTTGTCATCGTCGGCATTGAGCTGATATTGGCCCCAGCGCTCGGTCTTGAACCCATCGAGGAAGAGAGGGCTCTGAAGGATCTCCGAGCGAAAAGCGCAAGTCCGTCCAGACATACAGGAGGTGCCGCCGTCAATGTTATGGGTGGCGGATATCTCGAAGTTGCGTCTCTCGATGTACGCAGCTCCCAACCAATTGGCGCAAAATGCTTCAAAGGTGCCAGTTGTGAGTCTCTTCACTCTCTGGTTCGGTCCAACGCCGCCAATCCTTGCATCTTCAAAGGGAGCCAGGAGCCAGGGGAGAATTGTGCTTGGCCACGTGACATCGTCATCCGCCATAATGATCAGAGACGTCTTGACCTTGGGGATCGCCTCACAGACCTGGATCCGCTTGTTGGCGATCGGGGTGTGGAAGATGCGGATGTTGGATGCCTCCAGTGTTTTGGTGAACTGTACCAATTTCTGGTATTTAACCGAGGTCGTGACTAGCAGCAGCTCGTACGGGTGGCACGCCAAGATGCTCTGCAACGACTCCCTCAACTCCTCGAAATTGTTGTGGATCGTGGGAATGATGACCGTGACATCTTTCGAAGTGTACGATGGATTCTCGGGTATTGGGATCGATTTGTACATCCAGTGGCTCACGGTATTTACAATCGTGCGGACATATCGATGTATCCTAGGGAGAAGCTATTAGCATGCAGACCAGAGAGTCGGTCAGTCGTATAGATATATATAAACACGTAAACATCCGTATGTTGGGGTGACAACTTGTAGCATCTCGGGCATGGAAGATCATCGGTTCTAATAACATACCAGAAAAACAGAAAGAGTGCCATCCATGTCGAATGTTCGAAAGTCCAACCGTACCCCCACCACATATTGAATGATTCCAACATTCGTCGAATGTCCAGAGAATGTGGAGTCGGCCTAGGCTTGCCAACTCAACGATACCCTAGAGCAGATTGGGGTCTCTACCGCTTGCCCTTGTATGTCGGCTCAATTGCCACCGCGGGGTGATCGGGGGAGGTGGTAATGGAGCGATCATGGGACGGATGCCGTGGCAGGGCGATTGTGGCCGACGTGGAAAGATTTATATTGATATATATGCCTGGATGGAAGAGGAGGAGGAGGAAGATGTGGAGTTTGCCGATTCGAGGACTCGGGAGGGTAGATGGAAGATCTTAGTTTTGAGAGGGGAGGTATCGAATACTGGCTGAGGCGGATAGGTAGATGAGACGCAGTTGAGTTTTGGGAGTTCGGGAGCTGCGATGAGAGAGACTCAGAGATATCTGCGGTATCGAATCCGGCCCAATTGGACAGAAACTGGAGGGATAAAGCAGAAAAGTGCAATCACTAGATCCAGTAGTGAAAATGTATTTCGTGCTATGCAAAGCTAGCCAACTCAAATGTCCCAAAACCTATTGGAAAGTCCAAGCCAAGCAGATCCGCAAACGTAACGCCGTGCCCGACAAAGACGAAGACGAAGTACACCAATGTACTGTACTGAGTGAGTGACCGACCGACTGATTGATTGATTGACTGCCTGACTGATTGACTGATCGATTGACGGTACTTTGGTGATTTTTGAATCTTCTTTTTCTTTTCGCGGAGGCGGCCAAAAAGCGAGGGCGAGGTCGAGGAGATGCAAAGACGGTAGGCAGATAGATAATGAAGGATGGGTAAGAATAACGAAGGACCGCGACGAACAAGACCACGAAAAAGACCGTCAATTCCCAAGAAGGAGGTGCTGGATTCCCGTTGATAAGAATACAGTACGTACCAGTGCCCTCTCTCTTTATACAGGACAACATGAAGGTCGTCGAGATGTCATACTGGACCATCCATTCGGCCTTGCCCCCCCACAGGGTCTGCGGAGGACTATATAGTTTTAACGACTGCCAACACCGGAGACGGCACCAGAGCTTCTAAGAGGCGGACGCGAAACCCGATCGGTCATATCTGCTGCTGCAAGAAGCCCGTACCGTAGTCAAGTAGGCAGTACCGTAGTCAGACGTTAGTTTTTGCGGGATGCTTGATGCAGCTCAGGGATTCGAGAAGGGAGTGGGAGTGGATTCGGTGGGACGGGACTAACGGGGGGGATGGTGGTCAAAGGGTCAAAGAGGTACGGCTCCGTAGGTACTAGTCGATGTGAGGGGGTGGGCGAGGAGATACAATTAGTAGTACAACTATTTTAGAAATAGTGGTATAAGGATAAGGGAAGTCAGTGCTTGAAGTACGGACGTTTTTACCGGCCTTCCCATGCCTGGGAATTGTGGAGGAGAGGTAGGGGTTGGTTTGTGAGTGGGAGACATGGGTAGGTGGCCGGTACAGTGGGTGATGCCGTAGGCAGGGGGAGCCAGTGGTGTAGGTGGCCAGCTTGGCTATTGAGAAATGGGTGGATGTTGGTGATGGTGATGGTGATGGTGGTAGTGGTAGTGGTGGTGGTGGTGGTGGTGGTGGTAGTGGTGGTAGTGGCTGTATGAGATAGCTGTATAGGATGGTTGAAGCAGTAAGAAGATTGATAGGAAGGATAGTGAGTAGGGTAATCGATAGTTGATTGTTCGTTGCTGGTACGTGCTCGAGGCCGAACTGAAAGAGGGGTTGTTAGTTATCGTTTAGTTATCATGAAGTTACCTCTTATAGTTAGTGAGAGCTATAGTTGTGCTAGTAAGGCGTTTTCTACCGAGACTGTGCTACCGATCGATTGACTAGCTAGCCAACAGCCTTTCAGTGGTCAGAGATAGAGCTGGTAGGTTGAGTAGAGATCTGGAAGAAAAACAATGAATAAATGTCGCAAGCGGAAGCATCTACCATACATATATTTATTTGTTTACTTACAACCGAGCCTCCTTGATAGCAATGGCAAGACGCGAGGCTCTCTTCATATTACTTCTTTCTCGCTACAGAAGATGGAACAACGGCCGATGATGCACATCCTCTCCCAGCGCTGGGATGGATCACTACTGGGGCCCAGCGCCATTCAGTTCTCTTAAACACCCTGGCCGGGATCCCTGGTACCTGGCCCCGGCCTCACCTCCACAATGGACCCGTGCAGGCCTCGGCCATCGGTCATCGTTGCTGCAGGCCGACTGATTTGGTGGATTATTATTATTGTACGCCATCAAGCCGGAGCGTTACGTCTCATCTCGACGGTAAATTCTGCAGCATTCGCTCGTCCGGCGTGGCATGATCCTTCGCTTCGCCTCGCTTACAGCCTTCAGCCTACAGCCTTCAGCCTACAGCCTACAGCCTACAGCCTACAGCCTACAGCCTACAGGCTCCGGGCTCCAGGCTCCAGAAAGCAAAGCGGCACAATCGCCGGCGCAGGCGCCACCAATCCCAAAGTCGCGTCGAAAGCCTCCGATGGTGGCTTTTTGCAGCTCCCAGCCAAGTCACGCAAACTAGGATCACTGCCTGTCCTGCGCAGCAGCTAGCGAAAGGTCATCATGCGTGGTATGGTTGTGGTGTACCGGTAGCGTAACGAAGAGGGGCGACCATAGCTGTCTGGAGCTCTCAACCAAGGATTTAGGATGAGAGCCGCGTTATCTATAGAACTAACTTGACTCGAACCAGTTGAGAAACTGGCATGTCAACCGAAATAGAACATCGACTACGTCGAAGACAAGTCCGGAGGGTCACGAGGTCGTGCCACGTACAAGAAATACTATGTGTCCGCAGAACTAATTCTCTTTGTATTTTAATCGCGATATCAATTTCACGCCCCATTCTTACCTCATATCCAAGAATGCTTATTATGTATAGCACGCATCAAGCAAGTCCTTGGTGAACGCAGAGCGCAAGCGGATAATTCGGTTCGTCATCGCCAAAGTGACGCGATGAGCTGCATTTCATGCAAGCAGAAGGGAAAAGGTTATCTCTTCTGCTGCAGTCGTAGCCATGGCTGCATACATTTTTCATGCGAGGTCGAAGTACTCCGTACGTCGTGGGTACTGTAATATCACGGAATAATAAGGCCTCGTCGCCCTGCCAGCCGGTCATGGATGACAACCGTCGCATAAGCGAAGTTCACGCTGCAGCCGCCGGAAAACAAACAACACGGACGGACATATGCGGTGGGGTAGGTAGTACCGGCACGTAGAGCTGGAGTGGGGTATAGGAGCTTGGGTTACATATTGTAGTACAACTACGGTACTTGTACTACCGCTTTGCCCTCTTTTGAAGTATTAATAATACTAAGTACCCGAGGTAGACTTTTCCTTCAACCAACATACGTAGTAGTAGGTAGTACTTCTAGCTGAAGACTGCACCTGTACGTAAATGAAACAGGGCGGCTGTTCAGCGACAGCCTGGATCCACAAATAGAGGTATATACCGTCTTATATACCCCATTCACGGAAGTAGCTCATTTCTTCCCCTGATTTAAACCTCCCGAGTGATCCCTACCTACACGCCCTTCTTCCTCAGCCCACCCCACTCGACCTCTTCTATTCTCTGTGTTCCCTCTCTCTCTGTTCTCTAGAATATCCTCTCGTTCCATATCCAAACAACAACATACGTCCAGCAAACAGCGGCAGCAGACAATCCCCCATCCTCCTCTCTCAACGCTAGCCCCTCTATCCCTTACAAACCCCAACCAAAGCCAAACATAAACATAAACATAGACTTAAGCTAATGACTCCTCCATTCCTTACAGCAGATTCAAATATAGTAGCAACCGGCGAACACCGCGCACCGCGCACCGCACACGCCATTGGCGCTTCCTGCCACCATCCTCACGATCATCCATCACGAGAATCATTATCAAACTTCCCCAACACCCCCATCCACATCTTGATCTCCCGCTGGAGCGTTCCACCAGGGATCCTCCGCATCCCTCCCCTCACCCCTCCCTTCCTCCCCTTCCCATCTCCCTCCCAAAACAAACAGAGTTCAGTTCCTCCGCCGCCGCACAGACATATCGGCACTTGCGGCAGAGCCGTCGAAGAACATTCCATCCCAAACCTTATTGGAAAAAGAAGAAGAAAAAAGAAGATAGTAGTCCATAGAAAAGGACGCAACGTACACACAGACACTGAAGGAAAGGAAAAAAGGAGGAGAGAGCAAAGGCTATACACACCCACACGCTGTGCCACGCCCGGATGATCACCATGATCCATGCCACCAGCACCCAACCATTCCGAGCCGGCGCGGACGAGCACAGATACCGGTAGGTACTGGTACAGCAGGCCGCACGGGTGCCGAACTCGGATTTTTTACCTCCAACTTAACCGATCCCACGCATGTGCCGAGGTGGCGCTCTTGGGTCTTCTTTTCTTTCCATCCCATTCCATTCCTTCACCTCTCGTGCGAAGACCTCTTTTTCCGGGTTAGATCTCTGGTGCAGCTACTACTGCCTGCCACAGCAAGCAAGCAAGCAAGCAAGTAGTAGTATTAGCAATGATCTACGTCGGGCGGGTATCCAAAACGCAATGCTTGGACCCTAGGACCTCCCATGGGCTACGGCGACGTGCTAAGTCAAGGAATTGTTTACCAATCAAGCGAAATGCGATTTTTGGTGGGGGAGAGGGGGGTGTGGGGGGGGGGGAGGGGAGAGATATATAACTACAACTATATCCGAGCTGAGCTTCAGCCTCCCCCTTCGCTATTTCCGGGGTATATTTAAAGGTATACATACACACAGGTAAATATGGAACATGTACAAATAGATATATTCCGTAGATACATAGTCAAATTGTACACACACAGAGGTGAATATAGATGCATACAGATAGAATAGATATAGATATATTCACATAGAGAGATGTTCAAATAGCGATATATTCACATAGAGAGATGTTCAAATAGCGATATATCCAGATAGAGATATATACATACTTCGTAGATATATATATATATATAACACAAGTGCAAATATATATCAACATATCCCTTTCCAATCCCATCCATTCATAATTCTATATGTATATATAAAGAGAACAGAGCCCCGTCAACCTCATACAGCCATATATATATATACAAATAAATATAACAGCTACCAAGCAACCAACCAACATGATAAAGAATCCGTCCCCCCCCCTCCCTTCCCTCTTAAATCCACAACCATCCATCCCATCCACGAACGAGCCAAAAATTAAAAAATAAACTTGCAACCCAAACCCACCGGCTCAGTCCTCCGAATCGGCCCCCATTTCTGGAGAGAGAAAAAAAAGACAAAAGATTATCTGATTGCTGACAAATAGACAGGCCGACTGCGACTGCGGTAGCTCACGTGCTGATAATCGTACCTGATATACATAAGCGAGAGGGCGGGCCGGACGAGGGGTCAAAGGATGGAGGAAGCACTGTCGAAAGTATACAACTGGCTCTAAATGAACTGATTATGAAATACTGTACAACGAGCGACTAAGAGGAAAGGAGAAAAGAAAAAAATCATAAATCTTTCGATTGAAGTCTGTTGTTATCTATCGTACGGTAGCCGGCGGAGAAGTGAAAGAAAGGGCGGCGCTCGGTTAATCTCAATACGGTAATTCCGTCCATCATTCTTCGGCTATCGCGTAGAGAGGGAAGGGTACGAAGAGATACGGAGGTGCGGTAGATAGGCATTCCTAGATACATATCCGTGATAGCCGGCAAACTCAGCTGCAGCGTTTGTTCGGGGACTAACTTCTCTCTGTGGTTGTGCTTGATTGATATCCGTAGTACGTAGTACTGGTAAGTGCGGCAAATACTGAGTTCCTACTACTCCTGTACGTACGTACGCAGCGGCCCTGTAAAAAGCCTCACTCAGACTTTGGAGCTGAAACGCCATCGCCAACCCAATTGAGACGGTACCGTACAGCTGAGGCCCGGGTGCCATCGCGTACTCCGTACATTTATACGTACAGTCGGGTAGGGTGTTGGTAGAGCGGGAGCTTGACCTTCTCCTGCAATGCGATGCTGATTCCGAACCTTTTTGAGAGGGAAACAAGAGCTCTGGGCGTAACAGATCGCCAGTACGGTAGCAACTCCTGCACGACACAGTCAGAGCACCTGTCTGGTGTCTGATAATACCTTCTTCTGATGTTCCAAATATAAACAGAGATGTATATATAAAGGGAGGGGGAAGGATGTGTATATAGACATAGATATACATATATCTGGACTGCTCTACTTTCCGGGACCAGTCGTGGGATGGGGGAGAGGGGGTCGTCGGGTGGTGCGGGAAGCGCGGTGGGGGGGGGGGGGGGGGG